TTTCTCAGGCACATTAGTTGCGAGATCCAGTCTCTGATTCATTTTCCACAAAAGTGCTTATTTAGAAGGTTTCTAAATTGCTATTATTGTCACTGGAAAGTTTCACAAAAGTCCTTGTAAATTAAAGTTTATGTAAGGTGATGATTTTTTTTTAAGCATTTCAGTGTTTTGTGTTTTACATTTCTATTGCCTAATACATTCAATTTTAGTTTTGGTATCTACCACTGCTCCCAAAAGGATTAAAGAGAGTTTGGAAGACACTGACTCCCCAAACATTTGGACTGTATTCATCCTCTTATATAAGAAGGAGAGAGAGTTGAAACGTCAGTCCTGTCATAGTGACTGGTCTTTATAATAAGCCAATCCAAATCTGGGATTTAAGGAGCCACGCTATCTTTAAGAAAATCCCTAAGGGAAATATCACTTTATGGCTAATATATTGATGGAACAGGATGTTTTACTGACTGCACTTTCTTTTTATTTTGTGCTACTAGATCTTTTAGGGACCAAAATTATATTCCTTAGTAAACTTTTTTTCTCTCTGGCCTGTGCACATACCTGCCATAGCTTTATTTCAGTCTCAGACACTTGCCTTCTGTTTTGAATGGAGGGATGGAAAATCATTTAGTTAACCTGTCATGAACTTCTTTCCCCTTCATTCCTCTTGGAGTCCCTATTGCCTTTACCACTCCACTGGCTTCAGTTCTTTTTGTCATCTTGACTATTGTTTTGTTTTCTATACATATCCACATCCACTCATGCAGAGTTTATTTTCCGTCTTTTGTATCAACAAGAACTTGCTTTCTTCTTTTAGTATTTTTACTGTAAAATTTCTTTACTTAACTGTTTTCTTATAAGGAGCAGACAGTGTCTAGGAAACTTTATATTTTATAGCAAACTTTTGTCCTTGATCTGGAAGAGTTGTAGGTTAGTCCTAATGTGCTGCCTCATACAACAGCACATTCACAGTCACTGCTTCCTGGGCATTCCTTCTGTTTCAGACCAGAGCAAGAGTCAGAAAGACAATACTTTTGAATTGAAAAACGGACTTCATCAGAGGCTGTATAGTAAATGGTTCACTGCTGATGCAAGGCACAACTACCCATCTTTCTAAGCAGTGTCTTCAGTTCTGTAGACAGTGTGGCATTGGCTGGGAGATCAGGAGTGTCTCTGTGGAAGGAGAATAGGTCTGAGTTACATCTTGGCTCCGATTATGTCTTCTGTCCTTTCTGGAATAAGAGAATCAAAGTGATTAGTCTTTAGCCTTTTGAAACTGTACCTCCACACCAGTTATCTTGATGAACAAGAGTACAGGGGAATTCTTTGTCTCACAGATTTCTGCCTGGTACTGAGGCCCACTGTTGGACATGACTGATAGCAGTGGTAGCTCTCATTCTTGGAGTTCGTCGTGGAAGTCCCTCATTCCTGCCCATGACGTCTGGGCATCATCTTAGTACCAGTATCACCAGGACAAATCTTTGACTACTGCCAAGCCAAGAATTCTGACATAAAATACAGAAGTTCTTATACACAATATATCAGTCCAGCAGCCACAGAGATGCCTGTTTATCTCTTTAGCCCACTACAGAAAGTAGTTTGTGCTGGTATTGTGAGTTTCAAAGGCAGCTGTAGCAATGGTTCATTGCAATGTATTTGAACTATGAGATTTGCAGGGTAGCTAGCAGTCCAAGAAAATAAGAAGCATTCATAAAACCCTAGTTACGTTATTATCTGTTATGTTAGAGTCCCTGAGGCTGAACTGTATTGAAATTACACAGGTAAAAGCAACAAAAATATTTTTTTTTTCCAAAGGCAGAGATCTCAGACTGGAATGTTGTTGTATTGCTATAAAATTATTTCTATGGAATAAACTACTACTAGGCTCTTGACGGTAATATGAGCAATCTAGTGAGCTCAGAAGTAACACTTAAAAAGAAAAATCTTAAGTGCCAGCATACTACTACTTAAGCTAGTGCAGTCCTATATGTATAGAGATAGCAGTGCCAATGTGTGAATTGCACTTTTTGAAGTGTAAATAATATTTGCTTTTTGAAGTGTTACAGACGTGGTGCAGTTGTGTATTATATCGCTACTAGGAGCATCGATGTTTCTGCCGTCTTTCATGAGCGGTCATGCCATCTACTCTGGGCACGTATTGCTTTTTCTCCAAGTGTGTCGTGCTCTCCTCAAGTGGGACCTTGAACTGTAACTTTTTCTTCTTTCATTTTCATAACAAAGAAGGTATTGCAAGCATTGGGAAATGAGTGTTTTAAAAGTACTTCCTCTCACGTTTCCCATCCCACATGGTCATACTTGTTCTATCCAGTGGAAATTTGTGGGAGAGACTCAGGAGACAGTTACTTCATTTTTGAAGGACTGAAAGGCTTTGACCCCCTGACTTCAAAGGCATTCAGGGCTACAACTCTTAAAGGGAAAATTCTAACAACACCTGATCCAATATCATTTCTGTTTTGACTGCCTTTTACTTTGTTGAATTGAATTTATTCCCCTGGAAACTGTGGTCAGACTAAAGCGCTGGCAGAGCAATTATCATCTTTAATTGTATGTTTGTAAAGCTGCTAGCACTGCAAGACTCTGTGGCAGGTCTTACGTTGTAGCACAGTATGATGATTAATGTAATTTCTAGCAGTAGCCATTTACTATTGGTGTGTCTAGATGCAGCGATCCTAGTGCATGGATTGTAATGAGGTTTAGCTTGCGCAGTCCTCACTTACCCACAGGAGCACTTACACAAATACACCAGTGGTCCTCTGGGATGAAGAGATGTGCTGTGTGAGTTTCAGCGGAGCTGCCAACCATGAGCTGGTCTAGACATCACACCGATAAAAGCCTACTTAATTTTTGTACAGGGATCAGCTGGCTTACCTGGAGAAACTGGACCATCTGGGAGCCTTGGTGAAAAGGTACAGTAACGTATCTGACTACATAGCAGCAAAAATGAGCTTTGAATGCCATTGGGGTGGTAAAATACTGGTGAGAGATCATTTACTGACCACTGATAAAGCTAATATTCCTGTAGCTATTTCAGAACACATGGATGTAATAAATGGTAATCCAAATGCTGCTATTTGAGGTACTCATCTGGTGTCCTTGATTTTACTTTGCAAGCAGTTCAGAGCTGATAATTTGAATATTTGTTTATATTATGACACTTACTTTACTATCCATTGCTATTGATTCACAGAAACTAGTGCATATTGTAGTTGTTTTATACAGTAGTTACTGGTTTTGCTCTGCTACATGATGGAGCAAAAGCAGAAAGGTAAAATTTGGCTTTATGTGTTAACTGTCTAAAGAAGACAAAATTGTTAGTTTTGTCTGCTGTGCAGGAACAGTTGTGTTTATGAAAGCAAAGTTTAGTGGACTTAATGTGTGTACAACAGTATAAATAGCTTAAGCTTATTTGACATAATTTTATTTAGGTGAAGTATTTCAAAACTGAAAACAGGAAACTATTACTGGACTGCATGTCAGCTTCAATTATAATAAAAATATAATTATCAGAATGATCCAGCACCATTTGTATTTCTTACCTGCAGGGCTGAATTATTTCACCTAGACTGGTGGCTGCTATTTAAATATTTTATTGTGAAAGCCTTGATAATATAGTAGAACTTCCATGAAAATCTGCTTATATAATCTATGAAAGGAAATACATCAGTGCAAAGCACTGCTTGTTAAAACTAACATTTAGACAAGGCTCGTATCATTTTAATCATGTCATCTTAGAACTTGGTGTTGAAGGATTCTTGTTCTTTATAATTACACTTGACTCAATCAAAGATTACCTTGGGATATTGCTGCTAGTTTCACTAGAAGAAAAAAGGCAGTAAAAGACTTAATTAATCTTGTTATCAGGAATGAAGAAAAGCAAGCTTCTTCATGGTGGAGTAATTGTTGTTGCTATGCTGTTTCTATAGAATTTCTTGTCTTCCTCATTTATGGACTGAATAATACAATCTAAGCATGTATAACAACTGTACTGCCAGCATAATTATTTTAAAGAAACGCGTCTTTACAATATGGAACATAAAGTATAGTGTTATCCCTATGTCACGTGTACTAGAAGCAATAGATTTTTGTAATCTTTGTGTGTGGGTAATCTACAGCCAAGTCTGATGTTTGGGCTGGGTGTTATATGAATAAAAGGTGAAAAAGTATGTGAGATGAGAAAGAGATCCTTCCTACTTCCCCTACTCCAGTTGCTTCTGCTGCTGCTGAAGGGGTGGCCTTGCTTCTAGATCTATGCATTGCTAACACATATTGAAGAAGTGAGGGAGAGAAGAACAGTTTTCATTCTTGCTTGTTTGCTGTGATGAATTTTATGGAATAAAGACTGTAACTATCTCTGTGATGCAGCCATCACAGAGAAACAGCTAGCTTCAGTTCTCATAGACTGATGTAGTACCAAATCGCTTCTCCAGTCTTCTAGGGAAAGGGAAGATGGAGAATCATAGAATCGCTATGGTTGGAAAGAACCTCTAGGATCAAGTCCAACCTTCCTCCCAACATTTCCTAACCACTAGATCATAGCCTCAAGTGCTACATCTATTAGTTTTTGGAAAACCTCCAGGGATGATGACTCCACCACCTCCCCGGGCAGCCCACTCCAGTGCATAACCACTCTCAGTGAAGAAATTCTTCCTAATGTCCAATCAGAAACTCAGTTTTATCATCTTGCAAAATATGGATGGGCTTGTAGGAAGAGTGAGTGCAGAAATTAAAATGTGAAAAAAGGTCTCTGCTTTGTTTCTGAAGGGCAATCCCTGAACCAATAGTGTTATGCAGAGCAAAAAGTGCTTCCCTTTAGCAACTAAATCTCTTGTAGACTATGGGCTACAACCCTCACAAAGGCCTATTGTATTGCTCTGCTATTGTTATTGCAGATTAACCTCATTGGCCAGGTATGCCTGGCTCAGTGGACATGGAACAAGGAAAGAGCACTCACTGTTACTTTGTTTTTTAATTTTTCATTAAAGGGAGAGCGAGGTAGTGCAGGACCAGTAGGGCCTCCTGGAGAGAAAGGCATCATGGTAAGTTACAAGTCATGTAGAATCCATAATTATGTTACTTACAAAGGCACATTACTTTCCAAAACAGTAATATTTTCTTACCCTTCTGACTCTGCCAGCCTTATGGAAAAGAGGAGTATTTATGATGTGCCATTCCTGGGAAATCTCATTTAGCAGCTTTATCCTCTCTGTGGAAGCAGTGTTGCAAAGTGATTTGCTGAATGAAGCAGCAGAGCAAGTGCATGTTTTAAAAATGTCATTAAGCAACCTGACATAAAGAAAATTAAACACAAGTAATTGAAAGGAGAGATAATGGTGGAAAAGTAAAATAACTGTCTCCCATGTTGACTGGGGTAGCTAATAAGCTGGTAACTAGTGTCATCTCTAATTCTACTGTGTAGAAACCCAAACAGCCCCTGAGTGCCACTCTTGTTGGGAGGATTAGCTTCCTGAAAATACCACTTGTCCTGAATCAGGAAGCAGCTTTGCATGTAGCCTTGGACAGTCCAGAAGCCACTGTCATGTTAGGTAGGTTGTTGGGGCACAGAAGTAAAAAAAAATATGTATACATGTGCCTATTGTTACATGTTGAATTTCTCAAGGAAAAGTGTTTAGGGTTTGGGTTTGGGTTTGCTGGTGAGCACTGTGATGGCTCCAGAATATACAGAGAACACTTAGAAACTTAACAGTTTACAAGGAGATGACAAGGAGATAGTATGCTACATATTACCTGTTGCATCCTGCCTCATCTGATCCTGATGTGGTAGGCAGTGGTAAAATCTCAGTAGCCTTATGGTAGAGGCTGCAGATATGGGCCTGAGTGCAGGGGATGTTCCTATTGTGGAAACTGATATTATTATTATTATTATTAGATATTTGCAGTAATCACTCTTTGGGCATCCTTTGACAGGAAGGAGACCAAGCACCCTCAGGCTGCAGACCAGTTTAATGATCTATGTGGCAAGAGACAGTAATTTTTGAAGCATTCAGTGCTTCATTAAATATCTCTAATCTAGATTTACCTTCAACCAGCTGCTTTTGATCCATGAAAAAAAATCTTTTAGGGAGATTAATAAAGGAGGATTTATTAATATAGAATCCATTCGTATCAACTATTTTTCAGCTACTGGTATTGCTTTTTGTCATAGGTAAATCCTCTTAAGTAATAGCAGTAAGAGTCCTTCCCAGTAGCAAGTCATCATAGCCATCAGACCAGAGGTGTTTTGGGCATTTTGTGTTGGCCCATTTCTACTTGCACCAGGATGCAGGTCCACTTTCTGTTCCCATTGTCACAGCCTTGATGTGAGGTTTTGAAATTCATTTAGAACTCATCAGCTTTTGTTTCAGTACATCCCTCTCAACTAGCACCTCTGTGTGGGTTGCTTTAGTAATTAGTGTGATATATCCAAATAAATACCTGTTTTCTAAACAAAACTTTGGGAGTATATTTTGCAAGATTAAACGTTTTATTAACTTGCTTCCAATTTTTCAGATAAGTAACTGGGTTTATTATTCTGGTTGTAGTAACAGTTTTGATAAAACTATTCTGTATTTTCTCCATTTATTTCCATTTTAGGGCTACACAGGACCTCCAGGAAGCCCTGGACCTGTGGGGCCAGAAGGATTACCTGTAGGTGTAGAGTGGTGCTTTGGTTTGACATAAAACATAGCATTTTCAAATTGTCTTTTTGCTCTGATGAAGCTGTGAATGGTTTCTAATTTGTACTGCAGTCTATAAAACTTTCATGAAAATTTGTGCACTCGAAGTCTGTTCACCTGCTCTTCACCAGGATGATTCATAAAAGAAAGAAAAACTAATTATGTCATTTACTCATCCATTTAAAAATCACTTGGTTGAGACAAGTAGTGGAATAGATTTAAGGATGGTTTATAATTGCACAACATTTTTCTTTTTAATTCATTGATGCATAATATAATTTAAATATATTCATTATGTGTTTAGTTTCATTGTTAATCATAAATAAGTTAAATTCTAATTTGCTGTGTATAATTGTGTTATAACTTTGTTACTGTGAATCTTCAGTACAGGCGAAACCTGGGTCTTCTATCAGAAATTATTAGGGTTTTTTAACAAAATGTTGCTGAAATAAAAGTATCCTTGAGCAGTTTTAGGATGTTGGACAGAAGTAATTTTATCCAACAGTCACATCATGATTTCTTATTCAGAATAAAGTTACATAGAGTCTCCTATTTAGTTTTTTCTAGATAAATTGTATGAATACAATTAATTGAATTGAAACCATGAGTGAAAGTGATTGATTGATCAATGTGCACAAGCCTTGTAATTTTCAGAAATCTGTGTATAGAAGACAATAAATAATAATAAGTTGATTTGACATGTAGGGCCCTTCAGGGACAAGAGGACCACCAGGGCCACAGGGACCTAAGGGAAGAAGAGTAAGTAAGATTGCTGGTTTGTGTTACTTAAAGCAGAGAGCAGTGTGCTGCCAGTATGAATCTGACATGTAACCCATGTACTGTTGCTTCCTTTGAACTCTGTCCTCTGGACTCAAGCTGTTTGTACTGAAATCAGAGAGATGATACTTGGATTTCCATGTAGGAAACAATATGAACCTTCATTTCTCCTGTCTTACAATCAAATGGAGTTTTCCCATTAATTTCATCTGAAAAGCAGGACCAGAACCAGAATAACCAATGGTTTTATTTTCTGTATACATAAATATGCAAATTTTGGCATTTATAACTACCATTGGACTATTTCAGTGTTTTAAGGACTATTTTCTTTATCTTCATGTAATTTGTGTCTTTGGAAAGGCAATCAAAATCACCCAAACATAGTTCTGAACAAGGAAAAAAGCAAAGTCAGGATATAGTATATGCTAGAATCTCAAACATTTGATTAGATAGTAATTTCCATTTTTTGCATTTTTATCAGGGAAATAGGAACCATTTTTTCACTGTATACAAAACATCAGCCTCCTTCAGCAGTTTGACAACTTATCGAGGCTTCCTGTGAGACTCATACATCTCGTGCTAGTGTTTGGACCAATGGTGTTAACACTGGGTAGTGCTTACTACTCATCCTGATAAAGTCCCCGAATTCTGTCAGTGAGATAGTTCTGTTGGTTTCTTTATGTCATAGGCAGCAGTAATGTTTGTTGCTACAGCAAGATGCCATTATAGCCTTCCTTTATCTTCCTTTGTTATTGTGATACATATGTTTTCTAAGAAAATACATGGTGAAATTTTGAAAAGTTTAAGATCTGGAGGTTTTACTCAAGTTAGATAGATACTTGAGAAGCATACATTGCCTCTTAAATAAGCTTTGAATACAAAATTTATTAATGATATATTCCTCTACTTTTTCATAATTGCTAAACTATTAAATAAGATTGGGTAAAGAGTTACATTTTCAGTATATTCAAAATAATATATCAGAATATAGCATATATTTGAATATTAATATTGTATATTTGAAAAATATTTAGCATATTCCCTATATTTTGAATAGTTTGTATTGAAAATATAGAATGCTTAACAACTTCACAGTGTGCTATAGGATCATTCGTAAGAGAAACTTTGCATGTTTCCAATGAGTCTTCCTTCTTTAGTGTGATTTCCTTCCTCTTCAGAAGAAGTCCGTTTTAATTTATCTCCTAGTTCATGGTGCAGTTTGTAGGAACGATTTGTGAAATGCAGCACATGAAATGTATAATTTCTCTTAAAAGTCTGCAATAGTGGTCCTGGGTTATCCTGTATTAGAGAGGGCTCCAGCTGGCAATGCCAAGTGTTTGGGGTTGGTTTGGTTGGTTGGTTTTTTTGATGTTATTTCGTTTCAGACATAGAATATAATTTCTCCCAGACTTTAATTTCCATAAATGGTTGAAGCAGATCTGAGCATATATCTGCATACACTTAGGACTTCTTATGCTTCTCTGAAGTACCTATAAGTAAGAGACTTGTGTGAGTCTGAGTTTCAGGATTAAGGAATTTATCTCGGAAGCTCATCAAAAACAACATACCCACCAACATCAGAGAGAATGTGTTTAGTCTACTTCATTTTTCCCTTACAATAGATATGGTTTTTAAAAGTCTACTTGAAAGAATGTATTAGTAAAATTTTCTTTCAGGGGAATTAATTTGCTAATTTAAAAATAGACATTATAATTTAATAATGAATTATATGTAAAAAGAAAAAAACTACCCAACAAACAAAATTATATACACTAAAACTAATTCAGTATTACTCTGATAATTTTACATGCAGAAATTGCAAATGCTTCCTACATCTAGCAGATAATCTGATTATTTTCTGAACTGAATGTCACACATATGTAATCAGTGCCCAGAAAAAGGAGTTTATTAAGGCCTCTTTGTCAGGCAAAACTGAAATGCAGATATTTGTTTATGCAACGTATCTACCAAAATTTGAAGAGAAACCTTAATTAGCTGCAGAGGGCAAGAACCTACCCTCACTGATAAGCACAGTGAACTCTACTAAGAACTGGAGTAAGCAGGAGCATCCAACCACAGCCACCAGCTAGCAGAGAAGTGAAGGCTCTCCTTCCACTCAGCAGCATCTGCTGCCTGGTGATTGTTTTTAGGGCGGAACAACTTATTTTAATTTAGAATCTATTTTGAAGGTAGAAATAGTTTTTATTTAAGGAGTGTCACATCTGCCAACTGAAACAGGAATCTTTGAAGGAGTCTGTCTTCGATTTTGGTAGCACATCATGGAGTACATTGTTATAATTAGAGACTACTCAAAATAAATACCAAACATCCCAAGCTCTGTGGAAGTTCCAGATTGGAACTGTGGTTTATGCCTTTGCATCCATGCAGCATGACTGGGGATGCTTCATGGAATGGGGCCTTAGTGGACTCAAGTCTTCAAGGTCTGCAAGCAAACTCTCACTGAAGCCACTAAAAATTTTGTCTGCTCTCAAGATTGAAATATCAGACCCAAAGTGGAATCTCAGAGTGAATAAGGGAAATATCTGGCAGCCCCGGAAACCTGGAGTTTGTCATCACTGGATTCAGCAAAAGAAGCATTAGAACTCTGAGCTCTGTGTGGAATGCCTTGGAAAAGTGCATACTACAGTCACATACAGACATTAAATAGAAACATATGGAAATTCCTCTTTGTTGTGTATTGCAACAAGAAAGTATCCCATCTTCATGGCTGGAATCTGCAGGAAATCTTAGGAGTGCTGATCCCTTCTTCTGCACTGTCACAGAGTAGAATTCCTTCATCTCATAAATTCTGGGGCTTTCAGCAACCAGTTCACATCCAAGATTACCCAGCAGTTTACTTCTGCCTGAGAGTATCCAGCTGCTCAGTCTCTGGTGTACCTGGGAGTTATGGACAGACAAAGGCAGGCTGTCTAGGAGTCTATGGACTATCTCACTGCCAGAGGATCTGGAGATAGTGCTAGCACAGAGCTTCTTCAGCTCATGCTGTAGACTTTTTGCACTTCAGCTGGAATCACGTGGAAGATTGCATCCTTTTGTGATACGCTTTTTGGGTTTTAATGTTAATCTCATGAAAACACATTGGGGGAAAAGTGCTTTGTAGATAATTAAATGGCAGAATGACACTGTGGGGTGGGAATATCTGTATCTAAGAGAAGGAATTTCTCTCCATGACCAAATGGAAGAAGTACATTAGCATGGAAGGCATGCTGGTAGCAGTGTAGGCAACCATGAAACCATTGTTACATGTTATATGGAGAAGAAAGCTATAATGTCAGAGACTGGTTCTATTTTTAGTTCATGCCATAATCTCTGACTAATAAAACCGTAGCTTTTAATTTGAGAGGATGAGTTCCTGTATCATTAGATGAGTGAGACCTAAACAAAATTCTCAGTAGCTTATAAGATTCTTCTGATGTTTGGTGTTTTAGAGCTCAAAAGCAGTAATTTTTGTGTTCACTCTTTCCTGGAATGCAGCTCATGAAATTTTTGTTCTGAAAACACAGAGAAATGATATAGTGAAGTGCCTTAAGTTAGGGGTCATGCAACAGCATCTTATGCCTGTTGCAGCCAGTAGGATTGTCTCTTAGGCTGTGTCTGTACTGCCATGAAGAACCTCAACTACCTAAGGACATCAGTGCACCATTTTAATAAGTGATATCTTTCCTACTTCTCACAGAAGGGAATATGGAACCTAGAAAAATCTGTGTGCTCCAGGGTTATTTGAAACAAGTGACCAGTGTGCTTCATGATACATCAATAATTGAGCATGTTTAGCTGTCTTAATTGCTCAAAGGGAGTGAGACTAAAATTGATATCATTGTCTAATATTCTTCCATTTCAATCACCAAAAAGGAGAAGTAACTATATAGTGTTTGTTATCTTCACCCTTATCTTTAGGAGGCAGAACTTCTCAGCTGATTATCCTGGAGTTTTCAATGTAATAAGTTCTGTTTTAGAAACAAAGCTTAGCCCGTCCCAAAGAAAAAAGTAGTAGCAATCATTTGGCAGCCTTACTCCTCAGCTCTGTTGCAGCCTAAATTCACTAACAGCAGGCAGATCGTGCGTATCTCTCATTTTGTGCTAGCTAGAGCAAGAAATTATACAGATCCAATTAGTCTGTGCCAAAAATTATTCGCACCATACTATTTATAGGAATGTAATAGTGTGCTTTTGTTAGAATATCAAATTGCCTTTCCCGTGCAT